AGTAAGATGTCATTTCTTCTGATTGCATAGTCTTGGAGCTGTTTTTAGCTTAAAATATGGTGGTAGGGAAGTTTTTCCATTTATTTTGGAAAAAATATTTCTTGTGCATGGCTCACTATGTATTTGCGTATGTGCAATCCTGGGCCAGCACCTAAGGGCCAGGCTCTGTCCCTGAGCTTTTGTGCTCAAAGTTAGGACTCTACCACTTGAACCACAGCCCCACTTTGGGCATTTTGTATTTGGTGTTTAGTTGGAGATAAGAATCCCATTGACTTTCCTGCCTGGGCACTGAGATCTTCAGATCTCAGCCTCCCAAGTAGCTATGATATACAGGTGCAAGACACTGGCATCTGACTGTATTTTCTATTTATAACATTCCTTGATCTGTCATTGGAATATCACAAGGATAAAGACAGTCAGCAGCAAGCTATACATTTTTAAATCCACTTTCTGTATCACTCAGGGCTCAGGACAGGAAGGGGGAACCGGAGAATTAAGGGATGACATGGCCCAAGAATCACTGTACTTCAATCCTGACTTACAGCGCTGATACAACTGCATAGTATCAATTAACTAATTTTTAATCCAGTTTCTCAAAAAAAATCCATCTTCAATTGATTATCCAGGATAAAGGGTCAAATACTAAGAAGTACTGTGGGAAAGAAAATCAAAGCCAGAATGAGGCGCGCAGTGGAGAGGGTTGGGACAGGCACCTGTGGAGAGGGCCGGAGGGCGGGCTCCCGGTGAGCGCCACATTGCTCTGTAGCAGTTGGAAACCCCTGTGTCCTGAGTGGACTGTGGAGTGGGAAGGATGTGAAGTGTTTGCAGAGGAAAACAAGGCCTGATTGCTACTTTCTGACCTCCACACTTCTGGTGGCAGCAGCCATTGCCAGCGGTCTCTCCGTGGACCCCGTGAAATCATGGCTTGCACGCGGGTGCAGGTGTGGAGGGAAGAAAGGCACCTGAGTGGCGGAGGGTGCCTCATCCACTGGGCACACCACCAGGAGAAGCCAATTCTAGTGTTCTCTGATACCTCAATCCCACGTGCAGAGGCTAATAGGAATTTGAACGCTCATAGAATGTCCGGTTATCAGCAAACAGAGCAGAGGATGAGCCCAAGAGAAAGGCTTAGGGTCAGCAGAGGTCACCCACGAAACAAGATGAAAGAACAAGAAAGAAGTGTGATGACAGAACTGGACTGGAGCCAACTGTGGTATCTGAGAAGAATTACCACAGACACCTAAGCTGATATAAATTACTATTGAACAGTAGCGCTAGCGAGATCCAGAATGCAGTGTGAAGCCATGACTTACTTGTGGGATGTGGATATGTGTTACATCTGCATGTACATCAACGTGAAGCCTCGTTTTCATTTCTCAAACCAAAGACGGCCACAGAGTAGGCCCCAGAACATCTTGAAGATTAGAAAGCTGTAATAAATTACTCTCTGCAGGCTGATCAAAGGTAAACCTAAGAAATAAAGGAGGAAGATGCAAAAGCAACCTGAGCAGTTTCCTCACACTCTGGATGTTCTTCCCAGGTCCCTGGCCTTAGCATTCAAAGCAGAAGTAGAGGAAATGAAGAGGATTACAAAGCAGAAACAGGAGACACACAGGAGTGTAGCCCTGTGGAGGGTGGGACTCGGGGGAGGAGTTATGTGAGGGTGAGCTATTAAGGATTTAAAATTTCTTAATTAGAGAATCAAAACTGTTTTTTCAATATATGAAACAAACATTGAAAAACACAGTAAATCCATAGTCAACATCTTTAACATTATGATACTGTGGCTTGTGACTATCAGTCTTCCTTTTGTCCTTTCTTACCTAAATAAAATACACTTAAAATTACTTTGTTGTCTTCTAGCAATTAATGTGTTTAAAAAGTCGGTAAAATGTAGGTATGGACATGTTTTAATAAGCGCATTTAATCAAACCTTGATGTATTTCCGTGAAATCTGGTAGATGCCTGCCACCTTCTGATCAGAGTGAGAATAACTGAGTACTCAAAAACAAAAGGTCAGGAGAAACAGACTTTAAATTCATTAGCTGCTTTTAATATGACAAAGTACAGGTGTTATACAAAAATTACCACTTGGTTTAAAAACCATGAAATAGAACATTGAATTTTTAAATTAACACTTTGTTTTATTTTCACAAAAATTTCTGATATCTCCCTGATTAAGGACCTCTATTTTTGTGGCTGTATATATACATATACCTATGCCCAGAATATGCACCGAAAATTATCAAAAGTAGATATAACCCTGTAACTTGAGTAAATCCCAGAAATGCTGGTTGCCTACATTTTGGCTTATGCATTTTCTGTAAAAATTTTCCATACTGTTATGTTTTTAATAATTCTAATTTTCAATGATGTATATCCTCATTTTGCATCAAAATTTTCATCATAAACTCCCCAAATATTCTATATTACATTAAGGATGGAGATATTTTTATCTCTGATTTTTTTTAATTCTAGAACAATACTTTCCAGATTTTTTAAAATTTATTTTACCTTGTCTACAAGGTGATACACAAATGGAATTAAACTTATTTGAATTACAAATGGGTAGAAAGGGGTTTCTTTGCTGCACAATATCTCTGAACTTTGCATTCTGCACAAAACACAGAGTTTCAGAAAGCAAATAATATAAATTCCCATGTCACAAAGCATTGGTGGTACTCATTACCTGACTTGTGTAACTAACCCCTCTCTATAGTATCTTTACAATTATACATATGTATATATATGTGTGTGTGTGTGTGTGTGTGTATATATATATATATATATATATATATATATATATTAAAAACATTGGTGGTTTTGCTAGGCTTCTCTGTGCTGGGTAAGTTCAGAGTATGACTGGGATCCCCAGAAAAGTTCTAAGAATGCTGGCTTAATTTGGTGGACAGACAGTGTCATTTTGTTCTTCAGCAAAAGGGAAATGAGTTTCACTGATGGCCTGTTGCATATTTGAATTTATGAGAGAAATGATCAGAGAGAAACGATATCAGGAATCTTCAGAACACAGTAGTAGTGTCTCTAGGACAAAATTTCTTCTGTTCAAGCTGTATGGCATGTTGTAGATCTGTGGTTAGCCACAAAAGTGTTTGCTTTCTTTCACTGAAGTCTCTCTTCTCTCTCTCTCTCTCTCTCTCTCTCTCTATGTGTGTGTGTGTATGTGTGTGTGTGTGTGTGTGTGTGTGTGTGTGTGTGTGTCTGTGTGTGTGTGTGGTTTGCCACTTGCTCAAATATCCAAGAATCAGGTAAAATAGAGGAGAAAAGTTTGGAAACATAACTTAGAATAATTAAAGTTAGTACAAAGATGCACGTAACAATTTAACAATGAGAAGCAAAACACGGATCAATGCCAATTTATTGGCATTCCAGTGTTACCCATTGTATTCACATAAACTGCTAACAAGCAATAAGTGGTACCAACTGATAGTCTGAGGGCTTATAATTAGTAAGCGATGGAACCAAAACCACAGTACTGAATTTCACTCCCAGTTTTCTTTATATGTTTAACTTTTTAAAACTAAACCTTACTATTCAATCATTATTTTTGAAACATCATAGATGGCCAAGAAATATTTGTGTCTTTTAAGACATTCTTTTCTCGGTACATAACTATATTTTCACAACTGTAGCAATTTATTAAGTAAAGTTTTCCTACCAAAGTGTTTTGCAGCCAATGCAGTCTATGTGTTGAAAACTCCTTGAAACTGTGCACAAATTTGACAATGTTTATTATCTGCTTACCCGACCGTGTCAGTGCTAGCAAAGCCATTATGGTTGGCTACAGAAGTTCAAATTTAGTTCCATACTGAAAAGCAGATTTTCACAATAATAGATCATTACACTTTACAGGGTAACAGTTTGCTCATTAGGTCAATAAAGTGTTAAGTGCAACGCTTTTCAAAATGACTAAATCATAGTCCCTGTAGTTTTTCCAATAGACTTCATGTTGTGTTACTGCCGGAGAAGAAGCAACTGTGTTGAGTGAGAGAGGCTGGGGACAAGGGGAACATTCTGCTGGCGTGAGCTCTACCATCATCTTGTTTGGATGATCAGGAACCTTCTGTGTATCCTGAATGACCAAGTTGCCTGTGGAAAGTACAGTTCTGAACATCTTGAATAACAGCAATGCAGTGAACAAACTAATGTTCTCAAATACAGCACATGGTTTTAAAAAATGAAAAAGGTATCGTTGTGATGGCAGGTGTTGGACAATATTGACCGATTAATCATCATTATGGATTAACCAACATGATTCTGTCTTTTATAATATACATTTTCTAGCATATACATCTGTAAAAATGATTTCAGAGCTATTACTGAAATACCTAAATACCTAAAAATTACATTTTATGTCTTCTGTGCAGTGATTGGGATGGTAAAAACACAAGTGTAGCTTTAAAACATTTCTGTGCAATGCAGTCCACAATATCTCTATCGAGACAAGTGTGTGTGTGTGTGTGTGTGTGTGTGTGTGTGTGTGTGAGAGAGAGAGAGAGAGAGAGAGAGAGAGAGAGATTGCATGAGGTTATAGGGGTCAGTGTTTGTGTTACATTTCCAGTAATACTTGGCATCTGTCATACTTCAGAATTATTCCGGTGTTCCAGTTAAGTGTTTTGACACAGCAAAACGAAATGTATACCATCCGGGTTTTGGTGTGAGGCATACTTTCTGTCTGTGGTATGAATGTCCATCAGCACATGAGTTGTCACTAAGCGCACATTGCAACTGCAAACAAAATGCAGCGGCTCTGTGGCAGAGGCCCAGGCTGAGGATAGCGAGGGTTCTTCCCCCATGGAACCCAGCAAGACCAGCCAGCGCTGGGAGCCAGCAGGAAGTCGGGCATCCCCACAGGCCAGGCCTGGGACTCAGGGTTCAACTCGATGAAGGGCAAATGCTCCCTTTAGTCTTGGTGCCTTTACTTCCCGTGTCTTCCTGCCGAGCCCGAGACCCAACTCTGTCTGTCTTGTTCTGGATTTCAGCTCCTTGCGAGGGCAATACCTTCTTCTGCCACAGCAACATGTGCATCAACAACACGCTGGTGTGCAACGGGCTCCAGAACTGTGTGTATCCGTGGGATGAAAACCACTGTAAAGGTAATGACTCGCCCGCCCTGACCTTTGTGTAAAGCACAGGCCCCTGCGTGTGCGAGGAAGTCCCTAGGCTGTAGTGTGAGACCGTGTTCAGGACTGTCTCCATGCGCATCACCACCAGCTCACGAGCAGTTCCCTGCGTCCTCCGTGCTCATCCGAGGACCTAGGGTTACTCTGATCCTTGCAATCTCACAGGAACCCACCTCGTGGCCGTGGGGGACAGGGAGCTCTTGGGGGCTGTCTCCCCACCCAAGGCTGCACCTGTCACCCACTCCAGCTCCTCCTCGTTGCTCTTGGCGCACACATGCGGGTGTTGAAGGGTGCTTGTGCTTTCCAGCACTTGCGCCCCCGTGCCTGCACGGCAGTTCTGCTCTCTTCCTCTCCGATGGAAGAAGGCCCCTGTGCCCCTGCCCCTTCCAGTAGTTGAAGCTCGAAGCTCCTTGGAGAGCTCCTTGCATGGGTTCTGCTGCATGTTGTCAAGCTCAGAGTAGGACATGGGGTTCAGTGTTGAACAGTCTGGATAGGCCGGTGGGCGGGAAAGCCATTGTTCTCCACTTGACCTGCAACATGAGGTGACAAAATGCCTTCTGTGGAGAGGAGCAGCGTGGCTGCCCGGACTTGAGTACCAGGCAGGAGACGGGTCAGGGCTCACGGAATGGGCATGGGGGTCCCCTTCACTGCTTCCAGAGCTAAGAAGTTCTTCTGCCTTCTTATTCATTCTCTTGTAAGGAGCAAACAGACTCCTTGGGATTCCAGTCACTTTTCACTTAGGGAGGTTAGGGGCGCAGCTCAGCACAGACCCCGGGGTACGAGAAGGACCTGCGTGTGCCCTGAACGTGTGTGCTGTTCCTCACACTGGGTGTGCCCTGAAGCCATGTGCGTCTCCTCACTCTGGGCGGATGGCTGGAGGACAGGGCTAGTGGGTCTCTAGAATCATCTATACGTCTTGTGCTTATTCTATTCCTGAAATATTTTATACATTACTGAAAAGAGGATGTTACGCCCTCAAATACTTGGTTTTGTTTCCTACTTCTCTCTTCCATGTATAAAACTTCTACGGCATGTCTCTTGAAACTTGGTTGCCGGCTCCACGTTTATAATTGTTCTATCTTCCCGATGGATTAAGCCTTTTCTCATCATAAGAGGATTTGGACTTTGGTAATATTTGGATTCGTAAAGTACTTGGTCAGAAATTAGTCACTGGGATGTCGATATCACAGTCTGCACCCTGTTCCTGTTTTTTTCATGCTGTTTCTGGTACCCTTTGTTGGTGCCTGCCTCTCCCCAATGGAGTTCAGCTCCCATGAGCCTCATGTGCATATTGCCCATGCATTACGTTTCTGTAAGTCATACCCAATAGTCAATTCTGTAATAAAACACTTCAACAATAAGTGAAGAAGGCAGATAAAATTTGCATCTGTACTATCTTTCAGGTGTATTTACACTTGCCTTTGTGGGCTGTAGTTATTTTGGTTAAATTCGGTTGATTTTTTCGTGTAGAGATGCAACTGTCTCAGGCTACTCGTTTCCAAGCTCGGGGCCTCTTTCAATGTTTTATTAAAGATAGCCATTTGGCACTGGCTTCTTCATTTGTGTTTATTGGGCTGTGTCATGATTTCAGTTTCAGTAGGGATTTAGTTTCAATGTGGGCTTTGGCCCCACATTTGTTTGTTGCTGGGTGAGGATTTCTGTTTCACATGAATTTGGGGATTTGGGCCCACAGTGATTTCTGTCTCACTGGCTGTCGGGATGTTGGGTTGCATTTGCTTACCGTGTTTCCACAGGTCACCTGGCCGTCTCCCGCCTCTCCTGACAGTTCCTCAGGTGGCTTTCTGGTGAGAGGCCTTCCTGTGTCATGCGTCACTCTACCCCGTGTTGATTTTGAGATTTATGTCTGCTTTCTGAACATTGTTTCTTTTTAATTAGCATCTAGTAGTTGTGTGAGGGATGTTACTGTGACAGTTCTCTATCTGCCCATCTCGCTCCCTCATTCCTTCCCTCTCTTCTTAAAACCATTCCCACAGGTTTCCTTGTTCTCTCCTCACCTGCATTTAAAGTTCCTCAGCCGCGCTTCTCTTCACTCTCTTCTCCCTTGGGCCTCCGCACTGCTCCCCGTGCCTGTGCCTGCCCCGATCGATCGGCGGGGTCTGCTTCCTGAGGCTCTTGTATCTCCTCGTCAGTGTTTTTGCATGTTTGTTGTACAAGGAGGTTTCGCCGTGGCAACTCCCAAAAGCACGTGTTAGAATTCGGTGGGATGATGAACCTCCTCCTCTAGAATCTCTTTTGTAACATTTTCATGGAGGCCTGGGTGTGGGCCTTGCACACTCCTCCACATGGGGTTTGCTGACCTCGGCGGCTGAGTTTTCTCACTGACTTCTGGAAGTTTTCAGACTTTGCTCTTCAAAATATTTCCGCTGCCACTCCCCTCCTCCTCCTCCTCCTGTCCTGCTGTCTTTGGTCTTTGGTTATTTGCTGAGTCTACACTCATTCCATGCAGGATTTTTCCTGTTCTTCTTTAGACAGAGTAATAGTTGTCTCTCCGCACCTGTGCAAGGAGTCTGTATGGTCTTTTTTGGCCTTTCTGCAGAGCGCTGGAGGGGGGAACGGGATGCAGTCTGTTCTTCAAGGAGTCTAGCAGCTATTCTTACCTCAGTACATCTCCACTGTATCCCGCCTCACATGTACCAGACTGTCATCAGACTTCTATTTTTTTTTTTTTTTTTGGTCGGCTGTGGGGCTTGAACTCTGGGCCTGGGCGCTGTCCTTCAGCTCTTCAGCTCAAGGCGAGTGCTCTACCACTTGAGCTACAGCGCCACTTCCGGTTTTCTGGTGGTTTATTGGAGATAGGAGTCTCATGGTCTCTCCTGCGGGCTGGCTTTGAACTGCGATCCTCAGATCTCAGCCTCCTGAGTAGCTAGGATTACAGGCATGAGCCACCAGCTCCCAGCTTCAGACTTCTATTTTTGGCGGCTTAATTTGGGAAAGAGTCCATGCAGACCCTCCACTCCCATCCCAGAGTGACCATCTTGAATTCCTATTGAAAGAGCTTTCTGGTTTCAGGATCTTGTTGGTACAATATAACATTCTGTGGGGTTATTACATCATCCTGCAACATGTTGCCACATCATTGTTATCAAATCACGCATGAGTAGAGCACGATACAGTCCTGTCCTAAAGAATGGATAGTTTCTTATAACTGAGAGAAGAAAATAATTTAACACTTCCAACGTGGCCAGTGGGTTCCTAATTGTCACACTACAGATCTTCACTAACCTCTGTATCACATATATGCACACACACATGCATGTGTTTACACATACAAACTATGTGCACACATGTATTTATTTCTAGCACGGGCTTCGGGCAATGGGACAACGATTTTAAAAGTGGAAGAGAGGGCCCTTGGGACACTGGGGCACTGTTTGCATATGTTCCTTTAAACCTGCAAACCTTCTGTGCTCAGCCTAGTTAAAGTTTTCCACGTGCCTTGTGACCATGATATTAATGCGTGGTGGGTTGTTTCTCGTTTTGTTTTGTCTGTCTGTTGTCTGCACTCTCCTACCTACAGAAAAGAGGAAAACCAGCCTGCTGGACCAGCTCACCAACACCAGTGGGACTGTCATTGGCGTGACTTCCTGCATTGTGATCATCCTTATTATCATTTCTGTCATTGTCCAGATCAAACAGCCTCGTAAAAAGTACGTCCCAAGGAAGTCAGACTTTGAGCAGACCGTTTTCCAGGAGGTGTTTGAGCCTCCTCACTATGAGCTATGCACTCTCAGAGGGACAGGAGCGACAGCGGACTTTGCAGATGGAGCGGATGACTTTGACAGTTACCACAAGCTGCGGAGGTCATCGTCCAAATGCATTCACGACCATCACTGTGGATCCCAGCTGTCCAGCGCTAAAGGCAGCCGCAGCAACCTCAGCACAAGAGACGCTCCCATCTTGACGGAGATGCCCACCCAGCCCGCCAAGCCCCTCCTCCCACCCGTGAACAGGAGAAACATCCTTGTCATGAAACACAACTACTCCCAGGATCCCGCAGATGCCTGCGACGTGGACGAGATCGAGGAGGTGCCCACCACCAGCCACAGGCTGTCCAGGCACGACAAAGCCGTGCAGCGGTCAGTACCCACAGATGGTTTGGGATTTGCTTTGAGTTTCTGGGTGACAGCCATCTCTTAAAGACTCAAAGCCTTGCAAAACATGGATCACTCGCGTTTACTTTTCTCCCCCTGCTCCTCCTCTTCCTCCTCTTCCTCCTCCTCCTTCCCCCACTTCTTCCTTCTCCTTCTTGTCACTTCCCTTGGGCCCAGGGTCGCAGAATCTTTCCTCTTCTTTTTCCGTCTCCAGTGACTTCCTTACTCTTCTGAAACGACCCCACCCCTCCCTGTAATTCACACATAAAGAAACCTCATACCACACCAAAGAGCTTGGTTTCCATCCCCACACGCATAGTGACGCTCATGAAAATGGCGGCAATTTATACTACAGGTGATACTGCCAACTTGCTCCCTTCCACATGGTCATATGAGATCCCGTCATCTATGTTTACATATTTTAAGATTAAAAAAAATGACATTTGGAAACAACTACCTTCTCCAGATGGATATCTCATCTTGTTGAGTAATTTTAAGGCAGCAATCACAGATTTTGCAATATATCACATCCATTTTTGGCCTGGAAATGCAAACAATTTCCTTCCACATACCACATAATTACACATAATAGTACAGTATACTGAAATCCTGCACACTTATGTTTAAATAAGATACTATTGTAGAAGTACATATTTTATTTGCTTACTTAAAAAATATCTTCTATTCATGTTTATTTTTATGTACATATGAGATAATTTGTGCTGTGTTATCGACCATAAAATGAGTAACAGTTGGGCACTGAAAAGTTAAATTAAAAAATATAATTCCAGCATCCAGTCTTTATGCTATGTGTGGCATGCTTGCTTATATTGTTTACTTTCTGAATTAGCAGGTTTATTTGCCATACATTCTAAAAATCTACAATATTTTGATTGATCTTACTGATTTTTGCATGCAGATGGCAAGCAACTATTTCCACACTTTTATCGATTTCAGTATGGGTACTTTTAAGTAAACGTGTTGGTGTGTATGTCTGTTTTGTGCAAATATTACTTTGTTGAATGAAATAGCTGTAACATTCCAGGTTCTGCCTCATTGGGTCTCTAAGCAAACACGAGTCGGAATACAACACCACGCGGGTCTAAAGAGAAAACAAGGTAAGTGAAAGCCCTCGGCTCCTCCCCCGCCCTGTCTTCCTCCATTCTGCGTGGTTCTGTTGAGGTTGTCTTGTGGTTTTATAGGGACTGTGAGACGTTTCAGTATTTCTTGAGACACCTGTGCATTGCACTTCATCACTACAAATGCAGTGTATCCAGTGGTGGTGGGGAATGGTTTTAGGAGAAATGCAGTTCGTGTTCTTCCGTGTCATGGATACTGACTTCATCGGCTAAATGCTACCTATTTGAAGGTCAAGACACTGAACCTAATGAATTGTCTTACCATAAGAAACTCAGTGTTTACCTAGTAGAAAAAAGAAATAGAGCATTCATCCTTAACATAACCAAGATGGATATCCTAAACTAGCAATTAGTTATATAATTTGTCAAGATCCCGTTCAAAAGTCAAACACGAACTGTCTGGAGGTATTTATGAAACTTATGTAGCCTCTTTGTTTGCATGAGTAAGTAGCTTAAATGCAGCATGTGGTGTCCAATGTTATCAGATAAAGTGTGAAAGCTTGTGAATGAGCGAGGAGCCTTCTGCCTGAGGTCTGTGTACCCCACTCTGTCTCTGCATCGTGCAATGGCTTCATTTTCCCAGCTGAGCCCGTTATTTGCGTTAGTCTAATGGATCTCCACTTAAATTTTCTAGACGGTTAATCTTTTCCCAACCCTTGGAGCCTATCAGCTCTACTCTTGAATTAGATTGAGCGAACTGTCGTGTTCTAAAGCACCTTGATAAACTGGTGTCTTTGTGTGCATTTTTTTCATTGGGAGAAAATGTTTTAACTGTGCTTTACTTTCAGAAAGAACTCTTTGTACAAACATGGGGACTGTGAAAAGAAAATTCTATAGTGAATTGTGAAAAGTGGACACATTTCTAAATTCATTCCACTGCCTTTATTCAAACTTAAGAATTACAGACCTTTGTTAATCCTCCGGCGAGACATCCCCGTTGAAAATGACATGTCATTTCGTAATTTGGTTGCTGGCCACCAAGTGCTCCTTAGTTTTTAAATACATTGGGAGGTTTACTGGAAACTTGAAGAAGAAATGAATTCCTGATTAAGACTATCTCGAGTTTATTTTCTATTGTCAGTTTTACTTTTGTTTCTATGTTGTTTATGTCTTTGTTACATAATTGTACATCATGTGATTTGTGAGAGAAAAAAAACACACCACAAAATTTCTGATGAACCTTGTGTTACCTGTTTTCACTCTGGACTGCTTGAGAATAGTGGGCGTTTTGGGTGATTTTGAATGTACAACCATGAAAAGTGACCATGTGGATCACGGAGACACCAGCCAGAGATTTTATGGACTATACCCATGTAATGCTGTGTGATTAAACAGAGTGGAAAGCAATGAGTAAAATCACTAGATTGCAATAAGAAAAAAACATCTCATTCTTTTGGTCTTTCTTATAGAACCCGTTCCTTTTTTTTTTTCATCAAAGGAAGATATTGAGTTTCAGAATAGGTTCTTTTTTCTTTTCTTTCTTCTTTTTGAAATTAGGTATTTTACCACTCCTCCTCTACAATAGAAATGTCTTTGATTAAGCACTTAGCAATATGACAGTTTGAGAAAATACCCTGCATGTCAATACTGGATAATTGAGTTGGGGAAATACCCTCTTTGTCAGACACATTGTAAAAAAGCATGCATTCTCAAAATATCACTGTTACTCTCCCATTTCTTTGTGCCATATGCTTGCTACTTGTAAATTTTATATAAATATATAAAATGTACAATAATTTCTTAATTTGAGTTAAGAGAAATGTTTTCTTCTATTGGAGTGATTAAAAAATGCCTGGCTTACTTACATACACACATGATTTCTGCCAACCTTCCCACCCATGCAAGAGCAGGGTGGCCTTGACCATGGAGGTCACTTCACCTAAACACTTCTAAAATTTACAGCGTGTTCTGCTTTAGAATGCAAAATCTTTTCTTCAAATCATGGTCCCATTCGGTCTGAATTATAGAACTCTTTTCCTTGCACTCAGGCACTTACATGACACCCAGGCTTAGAGACTATGGTGTGTTTGGTGAGATAAATTAAAGGCCTCTATAATCTCTGCTGAACTGTACACACACTATAAAATTTAATTTAGCAAGTGGATCCACTTTTCAGATGTTAAATGTATATTATTAGACAATGACTTTCCAGCGCTAGGAGGATCACAAATCTGTTTACCCAACATTTTCAAAATGACTGAATTCTAGGCTTTTGAAAGAATTCTGGAGTTTAACTAGAAAAGAAACCCAGTCTATTATAATTCATAGTTTGCAATTCAATCAGGTCGTACAAACCAGATGGATAAATCATTGTCATATTTCGCTGTTAGAAAGTCATTTTCACATGTGTTAACATAAACAAATAACATTTTCACGTGTGTTAACATAAACAAGTAAATAGAAAATCATTTAATTTGTAGGAGAAAGAGCAAAGAATTTTGGAGATTCTAAATACTCTGTGACTTACAAAAATAACTCAAAATACAACTTAAAATTATGAATTGATTTGGTAAACTGATGAGTAGATAATGTGTTGAACATGATAAAGTTCATTTTTCATTATTGAGCTGCATATTTCTATACATATTATTTGTGATAAAAAAGTACCCTTGTTAATTTGACATGGTTGATTTCTTCATTCCCATGCTTTTATGACCTTTAATTCAATGTTGATGCATCAAAGATTATTTTTAAATGATTAGCCAGATATACCTGGTTTTATCACTAGGAATTTTCATAGGCACTTATTCCTTCTTAACTAATAATATATCAGATAGGATATAAGCGCCAAGTTGTAACGGAGGTGAAGACTAGAAGAAAATTGAAATTACAAGCTGTCATTTCTATGTCCTACAGTTATTCACAGGATGTTCAGCTCCCCTCCCCGAGTCTTCTCAGATATACAGAGTGATGCTGATCATATTCTCTTCTTAAAAATATTTGCACCGAAATCCATGAAATGACCTTCCAATGATTGAACATCAAACTAAACTGAGTGTAGTCATGAGGAGGAAATCATAGAGGCTTCCTTGGTGGTGATACCAAAATTATTCACCAAGTGATCAGGAGAGGAAAGTTGATCAAGTGTGGCACTGCCCCAGAGACATGCAGATGTCCACAGGAATTATTTTCGGTACTGAACCTTGGAGTGTGGTACTCTGGAAAAAACTTGGGGGTGCTCTTTAGAGACCCCTGAGGTGCCTATTAAAAAGCCTGTATTGAAATCTATCAATAAAAACGCTTTGATATTCTCTGAAGGACACTTGATCTGTGTTCAAAAGTTGGTGACATCTCTAAGTGAAGAAAGGAGAGGTTTCAAATTTTAAAATCAGGTTATTTTTAATAAATGTTAATCTTTTGTTTATGAAGTGAATTAAAATAGGCTATTAAAGTGTTCTATTCCAAAAGATGTTTTTAAATAAGGTATTAAGGTAGCACACCATCTTAGTTGGATAACAGTAGTCATTTTATTTTTCAGTGCTTGAATTTATTTTTCAAAATCTTAATGGTATAACTACATGCAATTTCTATGAGTCCCCACATTGAGTTTGGTACTGAAATCCAAGTGTGTTTCACTTGCTTAACTCAAGGTTGAGGTGCTGACATGGAAATCTGACTTTCCATACCTATTTTTACATACTTGCCCATTTTATGAGATGTCTTGAAAAAGTAGACATTATACTTGATTTGTCGTAATTAATTTTGATTTCATGAGGTAATTGAAATGTAACTATAGACATAGTAGACCAAATTATTAGACCTATGAAGATCAGCCTCCATTGCAAAGATGCTGTTTTACCTTAGTTTTTCCTACTAAAAATATTTCATCTGGCTGAAATCACTCCAAAAGCTGTAGTTCTGTTTAAAACGTCAAATGATTGACAATCCGTGAATATTCAAACTCCCACATCTGCTTTTTCTGTAGTTTCCCCTTAGGAAGTAAGGTTTTCTTCATAAGTTACAGTGTTTTGTTTTTGTTTTCAATCCATGAATAGCTTCTTCATGGCCTCAGAGTATCAAAATAAATTGCATCATCATTCCCATCATAATTGCTAAAGTAGCAAAAACGCACTGATGTTTTGGTAATAAAAGATGTCTTACATCAAGTTCATCCATGATGAAAATTAATGGTATGTTTCCAATTCTACAGGAAAGTTAAATAAAATGCTTAGAATACTGACTTCTTAGACACATGATTTGAAAATGGGTTTGGGTGTGTTTAATACATGAAGGATAGTTTGTGTGCATGCTTTGTCCAGGGGCTGGTTTCTGGTACAAAAGACCAGCCAAAAGTCATTAAACAGATGAAAAAACTAATACCTGAGACTTGAGTTAATTACTAATTCCTTATTTGTTTAGTTAACTTTTTACCTGACCCTTCTAAAGATTCAGTAAGTAGAAATAAATATATCAGTTGGATTGCCAGAGAGGTGTTTGTCATCAGAATTCCAGTTTAATATTTCCAAGGCTCCTCCTTAATTCAGAAATCTCCTGATTCATTTTGTTCATGATTTTGAGTTCTTGAAATTTTTCTTTAGCCTAACTATATTGTTCAAATAATTCAAACAAGGCTATGAAAATAGGAGACATAGCTGTTTCAGATCAGCTAGCCATAAAACACCATTATTTCCATTCTTTTCCTTTTAGCTATGGGTTCTGAACTTTCTCCTGTTTTCAAAAAGAAGTAAATTGTCTCTTAACATTCCTTTTATTCCTCAGAAGTAAGTAATGTCCACACAACCTGTTCAGATTCTGGTCATTTGCTTAGATGGTTTCCAGAAGTTCCCTTATCCTATACCAGTGTTCTGGGATTCTTAGTCCCTCCCTGGTCTCCACCATAACTGCAGTCAACACAGTCTTTGATCACACCTCATTTCTCCCACCCCAGAGACGGGCTCCTTTACTGCAGTTCACTCTTTGAAAACTTGTTTTAGGGTCTTTCGTTAATAGCCATAGGTTATTGAAACAAAACTTAAAAG